AGATTATCTTAATCTTACTTTAAAAAATAAACTAATTATTCAGTAACTTAAATTGCAATTCTTCATATAACACCTCTTAATTACAGCCAGGAATCTGAAGAGAAAACTGTTTAGGATGATGTAGTTAGAAAATTGAGGGACAACAAGAAGGTGGGGGCGGGGAGGGAAGGGAATAGGGAAGAGTCTAAACTGGAGGATAGCATCATTACTGTAGTGCATACCTCTGTGCCTTTTGTGGGTTACTGTTAGAGTTTCTGCAATTAGAAAGTAGAAAAAAGATTGAAACAATTGCACAGATCTATATGTAGCACCTCTGTGTTTCAATTTTTACCTAAAGTGTATGGTATTTAGAGGCATTACATTACCAGAATGTTGTATGTGGCAGTGTTTCCCCTCAGTGAATGCTATCTCTTCTTTCCTATGAAAAATTGTGGTTGGTAGATCTGCCTGCTAGTCCCTGCATTTTCTGTATGCTTAGTAACAGCATGGAAGAAAGATGCCCAAACAGCTGTGGGGCATGTAGTAATGCTGGACAATGGTGTAGTACTCAGAGACAAAATTAATCTAGTGATTCGTGATGCATCTAGTGGAAATACTGTGATCTAATGAGCAGTTTAAGGTTTTCCTTGGAGAGCCTGTTGATGTAATTGAGTAGTGCTTATACCTGAATAGTTGATAGCATCTAAGTAGAAGAGGCAAAGAATGATGAGGGAAAGTGAGACAGAAACTTGCATGTTCCCTGAGGTGTAAAAGGAAAGGCATTTGGAGAGTCAGATGAGGAACATCTCAAAATCCATCTTTATTTTCTTCAGCACTGGAAGGGATTTTCCATCCATCCTAAGGGCTTGTTTGGGTAAGCGTGGGCTATTTTTCAAGGATTAGGAGGACTTAGGTGCTTGGGATTTGTTTTGCTACACATTATTTTGATTAAATGAAAACATTCAGACTTGATTAAATTAGTTTATCTGGTGCTGTTCAAGGTGGTTTTGAGTATCTTGAAAACAAATTAGATGATGTAATTACATGGACAAACTGTATATCAGTGGTTTCCTAGCTGCTTTGTTGATGATTTCATGCCCTATTCTTGTGTTTCTAACCCATAGCTGTGGCAGCTTTATCAGGATTCATGTTGCAAATATTATCCTTTTTCTGTGCATTCCGCCTTTCAGAGACTCCCTGTGGAGACTTCTTGATGCATCTTCTCTGCTTGGCTCATTTTGAACAGTGACACCCACCAAGATGTGCCAGGCCTGGGGGGAATTAAGGCCTTTGAATGCTACAGAAATCAAAACTTGTTATTACTAATTAATTGCCCAAGGATGAGAAGTACACTGAAAATGTTTGTAATTCCTTAAACCTGTCTTTACATTTCTAAAGGATGGATGTTCATTTGTATTAAGAAATCATTAAATTTGTTCAATCATGTGTTGGCTGATCCTTAAGAGACTTGGCTTACAGCAGATCTGAATGAAGAATTTGTTGCCTCTCTTAAGTCCTTTAATACTTTCTTTGTTTTTTTTATAAGATACCCATGTGTGAACTGAAATTTCTTGTCCTCTTGTGCAGACCAATCTCCACATTTTTATCAGGCTCTGAGCAGCTAGAGGATTTCACACTGTAATGGGTATTTTTATTTCCTTTTTCTTTTCAGAGGAAATGGCAATAGCCCAGTGAGAATCAGGCTCCAGTGTGCCCTTTGTCTGAATGCCAGTTGTGAACATATGTGCAAACCCAGCATCTTGTAATGGTCTCTCCCAGCACATGGGTCTGGGTTTTGTCAGTAGTATCTATCCGCTATGCCTCTGGCAGTGTTCAGCCATTCTGTTTAAGTTCTTTAACCTCAATGACAAAACAAAACAAAGCAAAAAACTTTAATCAGAAGTTGAGCTCTTCAAACATACCCTGGCTTTATATCCTGTTTCTATCTTAAGTGGTCCTTTCCCCATGGCTCTTTGGTCTTTCTTAACCTGAGATTCCCAGAGCCTTGTAGAGGAGAAGTAGCCTTTCTTTTCTCTGCCTTTTCGGAGGCTTACCCACCTTCAGCTCACTTTTCTCAATGGTCTGTGTGTAATTCCAGCTCTGGTGAAGTTGTGTGCCTGTGATTTCCAGAACCAGTGTCATAATCAAATGTAGTCCTTTCTCCTGGCCATAAAAACTGAGGAAACATGACAATTCGTGTGTGTGTGTGCTTATTATGCCTATTTAAAATTATCAGATACTTTATTTCAAAATGTTGGGGTTGTTTTTTTTTTAAAGTTCTCATAATATTTGCCATTTGAGATTATCAAGTTTTCAGTTTAGCCTGACAGTCACATCCTACTTGTTTTTACATGGCTGAGCATAACTTACAATTGTGTATTTCAGAACTTTTGGGGGTTTTTATTACAGAATTTTATATTCTTAGAATAGATTTAATGTATTCTCATTTAAAGTTCATTCCTCATACATTAGGCCAAACGTTCAAGAGATGTAAATCAGTATTCTGTATATAAATCACTTGACTGAGTGATTTGCACCACATGATAATGGGGGCAGCTTGGAATTTTTATTTTCTGTTGTATGTAAATACTGAGGATTAAACATTCTTCATTATTTACCTCATGCTAGACTTTTCAGTGGCATTTGTTTGCACTTATTTGCACAAGTTATTTGTGTGAATATCCATAGCAAACAGTTATGAGAAGGTACATGAATAAACTCTTTTATATTGGTATCTTCCTTCCCAGTATTTTTAACACAAACTTTCATTTGCTTGAAAGCAAAGCTTTTTATGTGCCCATTCGCTACTCAGCTACTCAGGAGGAGAAAGCCTGAAAAGCGCCCTGTAATGCAGCGATACCCATGCAACATGGCCTTCGAGACACCAACTGCTTTTATAGGAACAGGAGCTTGGAAGAAAATAGTTTATTTTGGTGGAAATACTGGGTATATTTATATTGTTTAAAAACTGTACTTTGCACGTTACCTTGTTGCCTTGATGCTGGAGAGAGCGGGAAGAAAATCTGTGGGATAGGCTTCTTGCACTCAAGGAATTCCTTAACGAGAATATTTCCGTTTGCCTTTGTTTCACTGTACTTCTTTCAAACACCAAATTGCTGTCCCCTTAACGCTACTTTACGCTACTTCATTGTGTGATGTAACTTGTGCAGGAAAACCACCTTAGCTTTCATCCTTGCTCAGGCAGATCTTTACAAGTACCTAAAATTTTCTGTATGGTGTCACCATTGCAGTAAACCTGCTTGTTTGTGGCTGCTCAGGGAGAGATGGTACCACAGAGAGAGATGTCATGCGTTAATTACTGCTGGGGTCAAAACTCCTTCATTTTGCCCTGAAGTAACAGCCATTCTGTAAGGACATCTTTTATACACTCAGATAAAGTCCCAACAGCATTAGGGCCCGAAAAGTGAGGCCTGTGCTGGTGTGGACAGTCTTCCAAAGTCAACTAGGCCTTTTAGTACAGTGCTACAACTTGAACTACTTTCAGTCAGTTTATAGGAAATGAAAATATGAGATGAGAAAAATATTAAATACATGTTTGCAGAACAGAGTGGAAAAACAATTCGGGCTGTTTATGTATGAACCTATCTGGTGATCAGGCAGCACCATTCTGGACCCTGTCAATACAATGTGAGGGTGCTCTGCGATGAGCTGGGCTGATTGCGCTGCTTCTTTAGCCCTCTTCCTGGGCCAAGCGAATTACGCAGCCGGGTTGGAACTCCTTGGGCTGCTGAATGTCCTACTTTGTCATCTTGTGACGCACAACACACAGGTTCCTTTTCCAATACTGACATTTTATGGTATTAATAATAGCAATAGGCTGCAGTTGTCCAGTGATCACACCACTTGGAATAATAAGCACTAGGTTCCTAACTACCTTATGTTATCTACAGTTTCTCATTTTTATTGTAATTCGCTATAGACTGAGCAATACCAATCCAGCAAAATGTCGTAATTACCGTAAAGTCTAGATTTTTATTTATTTATTTTTACAGTCAAAATCTTATCTTAAAGCTGACAAATGGATACTGTATGCTGTTTCTCAAAAAAATCTTGGCTTCCTGAACAAATTACCTTAGTTTGTCTTGAACAAAAACTTACAGTATTTTTCCTGTTGTTTTTACATCATTTAGTTCTTTAAAATGTTGAAGGCTCAGCTAGATTATGGTTGATTATAAAGTCCTACATCATATATTTAGAAAGTGCTGAACCATGCCTATTACTGTTTGTATCTCTGAGTTAAGAAATATTTTTCATTCAATGTTGACATTTTTCATGTTTCATATGGTAATTTATACTGCTGTAAATGTGCAAGTACTAGCTGGCACAGAAGTAATTACCCTTGTCTTTATATTGGAGTTAAAATATTTTAATACGTTGGAATTTGTCTCTGAAATAATTTGAGTAGAATCTCTCAATTATGGTCTTCATGGGTGGGTATACGAATTAGCTTCTTTTATCTGAGAGATAAATGTTAAGAAAATCTAGATACTCAATAAGACATGGTTTTCCAGAGAACAGCCAAACCTTACAGTGAAAATGGAAAATTTATCCCCAGTACTGTCTACTTTCTGATGAGTTTTTTCCCCAGTTGCCCAGGGAAGTGTAGTTGGCCCAGGATTTGCAGAAATGGGAGGCTGACTAAATAAGAATACCTGTACCAAAGTGTGAATAAGAGGTGCAGCCAGGCACCATATTAATTTAGCATCTTGCTTAATAGCGCAATGAACTGAGATAGCTGGGATTTTTAAGGGAAGAATGTGCTTGCCGTGTTTGTCATGGAGAGAAGATGCGAACCAGGCAGAGGTCACAAAGAGGGGAAGGGAAGTGGTTCTACCACAAGGCAATTAAAAGTGCATGTCAGATGGGTAGTCATTCTTCAGATGTCAGAAGAACAAAAGGCCCCAGCCCTATTCCTTTCCTCCTCGACTTGTGTGTGATATGTGGTCACATAATACTAAAGCTAGTCATTAACAAAATTTTTCTTTCTGTTTTCATTTCAGTTATTTGCCACCTTCCATGCATGAATGGAGGCCAGTGCAGTTCTAGAGATAAATGCCAGTGCCCTCCTAATTACACTGGTAAACTTTGTCAGATCCCTGTGCAGACTGCCAATACTCCAAAACTGTACCATCACCCACAACAGGTGAACAAGGCTGTAGGATCACAAATTATCCACTCTACTCATACTTTACCACTGACGATGTCAGGACAGCAAGGTGTAAAAGGTAACTTTTTTTCTTGATAGATATTTTTTCCTTTGGAATTGATTTTATTAACTAATTTGGGGTATCCAACTGGTAACAACAGTGATCTGTCAATGTAGTTTGAATCTTGACACCAGAACTTGAATCATGAGCTCACCAGAATGACTGGAAAGTATTTTCATCAATGACTGAAATAATAAGAAATAACAGTGCTATTGAAAAGAGTTTATAAGTAAATTTACTTCGCTTTACGGTGGAATTTAATGCAGATTGCAGAGTCAAAGGATAATGCAAGGGGCTTCTTCCAGGAGTGTAGACCTGTTCAAAAAGAGAATAATTGTGGCTGAACAGAGTCCATAAATTGCACTATACCTAGATAGAAAGTTGCAGGTGATTCCATGATTACTAGTGGAGGGAAGAGGCAATGCTTTTTAACATAACAAAATTTAAATCCAATGTAAAGCTAAAAACACAATCCGTGTTTATCTTTATGTTATTGGTAGAGTCCTGTAAGTTAATTTTGTGGTCAACTTTTTAACATAGATAGGCCATGATATGATTCAGTTATATGACCTGGAAAGAATATTCTATTTACCAATTTCATAGGTAAAAACGGTAAGGATTTCCTACTGCTAATGCTGTGAAAGCAGCAGAGGATCAGAAACAAGAAAAGCTGTGATATTAATTAAATTGTGCCCAGTCAAAGAAAGTTCAGTCAGCTTCAGGTTTCCGTTTTCCCTAATACTTTTTTGTGAGGTGACAAGTTTTGATGACCTTGAAGAGGACTGTTGAATTTGTTTCTTGTGTGTCCTATGACTCTAGGTAGCATTTTATCTGGGTGAGATCCCGTCCATGTGGAGGGACCCCTGTGATTCAGTTTCACAACATATGAATTAGTGTGAATTTTGTTTGTTTGTTTGTTTGAATTGCCAGATTGATATCCCCCCCACCCCACCCCCCCACCCCGCGGGTAATTTTACAGTTACCTTACCAAGGTTGCTACCTCTGAATAAAAAGGAAATGATATGAGGGGCTCAGTTGTTGGCAACTAGTTCCTGAATAACTTTTCTAAGAGAGGCCAAACTATTTGTACATTTGTGATAAATATAATCTAGTGTAGTAACTCTGTTTTCAGACAGGGACATAGCTGTGAAGGAAGTGTTGATAGTACCCTTCTGGCAACACAGTATTTTATAAATGCTTTTAAGTATCTGCTTCATCTTTTCAATGGATTTGTTCCCTAATACCTAAACATTTAGCAGAGCAGAAATTTATTTCTGTGACTATTTAATTCCAGATCAAATTATTTTAGATAATACGGTGAACCATAAAAAAAAATTGAGACATAGTTATTTTTCAGATTTAGAGTTGCTGTCTTAAAAGACACAATAGGTTTCTTATTGTTAGAGTCTGACCTCTTGAATATTTTATTTCCTGACCCTCAAGTCCTCATCAGCACCATCAGCAGTCACAATGCTTTTTCTTCCCTTTCCATGCCCAAATGAGGATGTTGGATTGTGGAGAGAGGAATGTTTCATTTCTTTCAAGGAAAGAATAAAATAATTCATCCTGAAATGGCTGGCAGAAATAAAAACTAATCAGCACATCTAGGCAGTAATCCAAGACTTGGAGAGGATTGTGGTGATAATACTGCATGGGAGGAACCAGCCTAAATTTGATGTTTTCAGCATCTGAACATCTTTAGGCGGATTGATAGATTAAAGCAGAGCAATTCAGTGATTTCTTCTGAGGGTTAATATGTTCTTTAGATTTATCAGCTGAAGAAAGTAGTTGAAGGGATCCCTCTTTATGCGTAAAAATGTATGATAGTAAGTTGGGGTGAGTTTTGTTCTTTTCACAGCCAGACTATGCTGTCTTGTCTTGCCCTGCAAAATCAGTCATATAGCCTAAGAAGGGCCTTACTGCTTCTCCTTGTAACACTAAATCTTTTCCTTGTGGGTTTGCCTGTAACAGAACTCATGTAGCATAGATTTTGCTTGAAGGTTGTTTTCTGCTACAGGCAAGAACTGAAAAGCCATTAAAGCCCTGCAGCCATATTTTGCTGACTTCCTACTACTACCTTTTTCCTGATGTTTCTGCCTGCAGTATGTTCAAGATTTTCATAAATGAAACAATGCAGGGCGGAGTGAAAACAAGTTTGTTTCTTTTAAGGAATTCCTATATGAGACCAGTTGAATGCTGAAAATATGACTAGAGAAATGAAAATAATGTGAAAAACCCCAAGTAATTTCTACAAAATAATAAAATTTTAAAGCAGCTAAAATAAATGAAATATGCTTCCTGGGAAGTGGAACTGTGAGGTTGAAATTGGTAAATAAGAACTGAAAATGCCTAATCAAGTTCCAAAGAACAGTCTGGCCTCCTGGAGGCAAGGAGACAATTCAGAAGACTCAACAATCCAGTATGTGTTATAGAGAAAGTATGTAAAATAATATTTGTTGGTTCTTGATGTTTGGAAGGGGTGTTGCATCTAATGGATTGGCTGGCCTCGAGTAGTCTGTGCAGTACTTGCTGATGAGAGACACCCAACCAGACACAGTAAATGCTAACTTTGTTATGCAGCTTACAAACTATAAAACTTTTTACACACCTCTCCTTCCTGCCCCTCCCCAATAATAATTTGAGTTACATGTTTAAAGGGCATTTTGTGTTTCAGTAAAAAGAAGCTGGAGGGTCAGAAACAGTTCTGTGCACATTAGGTTGACTGGAGGGTCTCAATCTATATACCCAGACTTAAAACTACAACTGTGTTTAAAAACAGAAGTATCTGAAAAACATTTCCTCCCTCTTTATCTGCCAAATCCTGAATTCAAAGTTCAGTGAAGGGAGTGGTGATTTTAGATGGTTGAGATGCTGGCAAGTGTTACAGGGGCAAACTCAGGACTTGGCAGGTATATAAAGGTGAAAGGATGAAATCTGAAGCTTTTTCTGTGTTCCAGAGAAAGATGATGGATCTGAAAAAGAAAATAAAACTTACTATATATCCAAAAATAACCCAGTGGAGTTTGAATTCTGGAACTTTGAATGGGATTCTTGTTACGCAGTATGACCACAAATATTAATGTCACACCAGCCAATTTGGACATCCATATTTATGTAGCAGTCTTTACAATGCTATAATGTTGTTCTTTCCTGTGTGAAGGGTTTTCATTTTCTGCTGTGTAAATAAGACTCTATGTATTCTTTCAGCCTTCTCTCTAACCCCCAAATTTGGGCTTTGTTTATATTTTGGTCACTTCAAGGCACTCTCTAAAAATTCTGATGTACAAAAAAGAGATGTCTTAGAGGTGCCTGAGATCTCTTTTTTGACATATTTTATTGTCAAATTTTTTTAATGTGTTTTTCCTTCAATTATTTTAGTGAAGTTCCCTCCTAACATAGTGAATATCCATGTGAAACATCCCCCTGAAGCCTCAGTTCAGATCCATCAAGTTTCAAGAGTTGACAGCACATCAACAGGACAAAAAGCAAAAGTACCTCAGCCAGGACATCCACAGGTCTCTTACCAAGGTCTTCCGTATCAGAAGACCCAGAAAGGACATACTACTTACACAAATCAACAACCCATTCCTCATATGTTTCCTGTTTCAGTTAAAACTCAGCTTGGGCGCTGCTTCCAGGAGACTATTGGGACACAGGTAAGAAATGTTTGCTAAAGCTTTTGAGACAGGTAGCTTTAAAACAGTATCATAAAAGAATGAAAAAATTCTTCACCAATCACAGGGAAAGGATGTGCTTGACACTCTTTTCCAAAAGAAAATTTTTGAGAGTGCACTGTAAAATGTTTTACAAAGTAACATTTTTCTGAACCTACTTCTCCTTCAAGCTAATGTCTTTGTCTTCTGCAGTCTTGGGTCCCTGACATTCTAGTTTCAGTTATTTTAGCCATAATTTCTCCATTTATAAGCTATCTCTCCGAATTAAAAAACATGACTTAAATCCTAGCTCCATCTCTCCTGATTGAACAACTAAGGTTACACCATCTTCCACAGCTTGTATTATCCTTTGGTTTAATGAGTCTTCTTGCACGTCTGTTTCAACTGCCAGTGTTTTTCAAGGAGTTGCAGTTTTCATTGAAATTCCTATTCAACAACTACATATGTTTTACAGTATTGTAGGCTAATGTTTTGAATCTGTTGAAATGTGGCCATTGAACGGGGTAGAAAAATCATGAAAGCCAATTGAGTTTTTGCTAGAGCATTAAAACCTTAGTTCAGTTTAAAATAATATGTTCACATCAGTTTTTACATGACTGTTCAAAATTGCATATCTTTCAGCTCTTGAAAGCACTTTTAATAAGCGACACAGCGTTAATCATTTTTGCATATTTCCATATATCTGTAAATATACAGAGAGAGAAGAAAATCTTAGATGAAGAGATGCAAAAATGTTAGTAAGACCCTGTTATTTATTGCTTATCACCTTGCTGAAATTTAACTTTTCAGAACCATTTTTTTTACACTGAATGCATGCCTCAGGCTGAAATTTTGTGGAATATTTCAGAAAAATCACTCACTTGTTTTGAGGGATGATGTTAAAGAATGAATATGTTGCTTTACTCAGACTAAAAAAATAATTTATGTCTGTTTCAATGAAGATTTGGGTGGTCTATATGCTTTGAAGCAGAAACTTAAATTTATCACAAAGGTCACTCTGCTTTTGGTCCTTCCAGTAACATGCACCCAAAGTTAGCCAATTTTCAAGCATCTAAAAATATATGTATTTCCAAAATATTCCATAAACATTTGTTAGATGTTGGCACCAAAATTCGCCAAAGATTTCACTTGTACAAAGCATGGTCTGCCTTCCCCTCAAAGGGGCAGCACCCATCATCCCTGAAATGCAGGAATGGAGCATAATGTCCTTTACAAGTGTTTCTTCTAGCTGTCAGTGAATGCTGTGATGCCAACCATTAGAAATGACAGCAAGGAAATTTTCTCATGGCTCCCAAGCAGCATGTGCACACACACACAAAAAAAAAAAAGAGGAAGAGACCTCACTCAGGCAGGGGCAAGGAGCTTTGGAGAGGATCAGTGGTGGGAAACAGACAGGAGCAGAAGCAGGGTGAGGGTAACATAGGTGGCAGATCCCACAGTAGTGATAGCAATTAGTCTCTGGAACCTCAAACTGAAATCAGTTCCTTAGTCTCGGTCATCTTCTGCCAGCTCCAAAGAACTGATTTTTTTCCTGTAAAACATTTTTCTCTTTTCCTTTCAGTGGCTGGCTTCTGCAGAGTACTGTAGCATTCCTACTAGTGACATAATTAACTCTAGGTTCAGAAGTCATTTCTGTGGAAGTAAAGATCCCAAAACCTGCTCATGCTAGGCCATCATGTGAGGGTGTTTAAAAGTAATTAATTCAGAAAAATGCTACAGAAGAAGTAAATTTAAACGTCATCATGCCCCAAAAATATTTCTAGAGACCAGAGTTAAGTTTGCATATGGAACAATAAAGGCTAATATTCTTTAATTGTTGAATGCTTGATTTGGGATCCACAGCATTAATTTTTAATGATGAGCTCTTCATGCTTGCCTGCTTCAGGAATATTAAAACCTTGAATTTGTTCTTTGACAAGTGTTGAAGCATATGTTCAAATGAAAGCTCATGGCTTTTACATGACAAAATGAAGCAGGGCCCCTGTCAAACAACCATTTCTCTGTATTTCCCAAGAATGAGAGATCTAACAAACATGGCAATATAATGTGCAATCATAAAATGCTGGAAATGATTATTTATTTAAATTAGTATTAATTAATAATTATTATT